GTTCCCACCCTTTTTCACCTGGCCTCCTCCGGTGGATCACCGGACTCACACGGTGAGTACTCGAACGTCGACCGGACTCGACCTGACCGCTCGACCGAAAGCGATGTCGGTGGAAGCGCCACCGTGTCGTGTCGTCCCAGGCCGAGCGTGTGAGGTGCTGCGAGAGGTGGATCGTTTGCAAGAGGAGTACTGTCGCTTGGAGCCCCTTTTCAGGCGGATTGGATGAGAGGGTGGAGGGTGAAGGGAGAGGGGGTGGACAATGGCTTCAGATCCAGGTGGCAGGTTGTCATGAGAAAGTGGATAGAAATGGCTTGTTTCTGCCAAGGCTTTGGTCTGGTGGAAGATTTTAAATCAGTGAGATGGGCAAGATAGGGAGATGAAAGAAGATACTGCAAGATGGACGAACAGATTCAGGCCATGGATCGGGTGGAGGTGAGAATGGCGTGTGTTTTTGTGGTTTTGGTTTCCGAGGTGGCCAATTCCTTTGGGACGACACCCATGGAAAAGAGGTAGCAACATGGTTGGACCACTGTCGACTGCAGAGGTTGCAGGTGTTTCTTTTTTTTTTTCTCGGCACTCTTCACGCAGTCAAACATTCATGTTTCCCAACGAGTGTCTGCAGCCATCGGAGTCCGTGAACTTGTGGATGAAACACCGGCCAAACATGCAGATCAGCAGTGTTCGAAAAACTCTTCGTCTCGTCTCGAAAAAGGGGGCGGAAGAAAGGTTCTAAGGTACTTGGAGCCCTAGGGATTCTATGTTTTTCCTCTAGATGTCCTGCGTTGGTCGCCAGGAATCGGCCAGTCATGGAGGTTCATGTCTGACTCTCGAGTCGTCGCGAAGAACACCTCACGCCTGTGTTGGCACACCGAGAAACAGCGATAGGATGAAAGTCCTTGGAGATGATGAGGTCGTGACCTTGGGAGGAGCGGAAGCAGAAGGATGGCTGGTTTTCATGGGAGGTTTCGGCGGGACAGCTTCGTCTTGGACAGCCACCAAGCTTTAAAAAACCCTCTGTAAGTGGTGAGCAGATTCGATTGGATTTGGGATTTGCCACCTGTTGGGGGTCAACGTATTCTTCGCATGGTCACCCGAGATACATGGAACACGTGGAACCCCCCCGCAGTAGCAGCATCCGTTGTGGGTTGCAGGAAGACTCCGCCCAGGTGTCCGCCCGGTGAAGTCCCAAGTCCCAATCACCCAACGACTCCCACGTCTCGACTGAGATCGTCTTGACTCAACGACCAAATCGAGATGGTCCGTCGGACTTCAACGTGGCCGATCGCATGTCTTGGATCCTCGCTTCGCCCTCTGAGGCAAGCGCTCGTGCGGTGGAGAAGTTCGGGACCAGCGACGAGGTGTGGCGGTGCGGGCGGCCCAGGCGTGAAAATACCCGGCAGTTCCGGGTGGGGTGCGGGGAGCTGGGCCAGACCATCATGGTCTGAGCTGGCTGGAAAGGAGTCGAAGAAAATCGTCTCCAAGAAGTAGTGATTGAGCAGACATGGGATATTTGTTTGTTTGTTTTTTTCCTGTTTCAACATGGTTGACTTTGCGTTGACAAGGGAGACTGGCTCTGGGACTCCTCTCCCCGACCGTGGAGCTTTCCGGAGTCCCAGGCACCAGGTTCTCGCCGCGCCGCACACCGCACCGAGGCTGCTCATGCACCGCGCGCAGAGCTCGTGCAAGACCGACGGCGCGACCCACGCGACGACGCACCGTGCAGCCAGCCTTGTGATGTAGCAATGCAGAAAAAAAAACTGCAGCCAGCGTTGGTCATGATTGGAAACATATCTCCTACATTCACCTTCACCACCTGTTCCCAGAATGGACGTCCGTGCTTGGGATGAAAGCGGTGAGTCCACCATCCTATATGGTATTTCAGCTGAAGCACCATATTAATCAAAACACAATATGACAATATTTTTATATTTTGTATAAGTACAAGCTTCTTCAAAATGACCTTTCGAAGGCTCCTAAGTGACCCTTAGGAGGCTTAAGTGACCTCAAACCAGGTTATCAAAAGGTCACTTTGAAGCACCAGGTATATCATTGTATCATCGTTATAAACCAGGACCCTCCTGTCGGGGTGTCCAATGAACTACCCCACACTACCAGCCTAGGCTTCCAAACAGGGCACCCCAACAGGAGGGTCCTGGTATAGTTCGTTAGGGGTGAGCCGGTGGATGATGCTACTCTCACCGGATCACCTCCACGTCACTCGTCTCCAAACGGCAGGACGGTCTTACACTTCACCGGCCAGAGCACCGTGCCCGGAGCCCGGTACGAGCGCAGTTAGCCGTGGAGACGCGGTGGCGGTCGGTCGGTCGGCGGGCTCACTTGCGACTGGGGTGGCAGGTCGAAGCAGCTGCAACGAATTTGGGATGGGGTGAAGATCGTGTGGCTGGCATGTTTCAGGTGTTTTCGATGGTAAACCGTCCGGTAAAGTCCATGTCGGGCACCAGTTAGCATTATATAGCCATCGTAGCCCGTAAGATCATTTTGGGGGGGTCCAGGGGGCGACAACACATCAACTTCCAATCCCTCTGAAGTGGTTGTGGAAAAATAGAACTATACTGTAATAATATGTACTGTAATAATCTGATGTCACTCTCTGCAACATGGTCAGCATCGACAGAAACCTGAACCACATGTCTTTGAGCAGTCGTGAAACAGAAATCGTCGTATCACGCAGCAGACTTGGAGAAGAACCGTTAGGAAGGTCTACCCTGTGCTCAGCATTGCTCAGCAGTTTTCATCGGATCCTAGAAGGTTTGATAAGGTTTAGTTGTTTTGTTTGACTAGCCAAACGCCCCCCACAAACCAGCGTGGGAGACTCCTGTTGCTGTCCTTTTCGCCGCGTCCGGAGAACCCTCTGTGGCAGGCAAAGGAGGCCGTGGAGAAGATCCTGGACCTCCGAAGGCCGGTCGCCTCGACCGCCATGGCGGGAGAACTCGGCCGCCCGGTGGATCCGTGCCCAAGGTCGGATGTGTTGCGGTCCGTTTCTCCGGGAATTGGGGAGTACAACGTCCCAAGGTTGGAACTGGTTCAGGACTCTGAAGATTCTTTGAGGTTCGGACGTTTGGTGAACTACTGGTTTTGGTGACGTACACTGGCAGGGGTACTGCCGGGTTGTGGTGATGAGTATCAGTAAAACTTGGGTGTATTTGAGAAGGCCTGTAGCGCCACTCACATAAAGTCAACACAAGCAACTATGTTGCAAACATATGTTTCACACCACTCATGAGTTGCTGAAACAACTGTTGAACACAGACACATTGTGAAAGTAAACGCATCGATCAAACACACCGTGGAGCCAGCACATGTCGATCAAACACATATATCATATATCGACACCACCTGGCACCAATTCACTGCCACCGTCTTGCACCAGGAAGCAGCTAAGACTGCCGGTTCGCAAATGGGAAACCAGCTAAGATAGCTAACGACATGGCATCAGCAGTTGCCCAACGCATGGGTACAAATGGCGCAAGAATGTCCAAGCAGCAAGCAAAAGCCTTTGACTCCTTACTGACTGTATTGGAAAGTGCAATCTGATTTGTATTAGCACTCGGATGAGCAGATACATTTGGTTTGACGGAATGGAGCAGAAACAAAGCTATGTCCGGTAGTCGCCAGTTTGCATGGTCTGAAAAAAGATTGTCTTGTAAGATAGACATGGGAACTGCGGTCACTGCGGTCAAAATAGACCAACCACGCCCAAATCGGACCGAAGGGTAGTCCTCCTTCTCCTCCTCCTCTTTTTCGGAAGTTTTTCGGCTCGGCCACCGGCCTTTGGCTCCGTCAATGTCGGCGCTCTGACTGGGGCCAGCAGCCACATAATTACACAAGGAATTCATTGGTAGAGAAAGTAAAGGATATTTACAGGGCTGTGAGGATATACAAGCACCATAGAGCCATATAAAGCCCCTTCCAGTGTTTGTGACTACAGTTCGAATGGTCTCCTGAGAAGCTATTTTTCAATGCTTGCCTTCCAAAAGAATCCCAGCAAAATTCAAGGTGCTCTGTCTGATCCTGCTTAGGGAGGTTGCGCTCCCTGGAATTTACTGCCTCCTAGTGTGGCACACGCAGACTTTAGTAGCACACAGTTTAAAACGGCTTCCAAATTTTATCATTACATCAATTACTTCATATACTCTCTCGTGTCCCAAAGATGATCAAAAGTTATCAAAAGTTCTAGTTTTATAAATGTACATATATATATATATATATAAGAGTTCTTTTAACACATGTTTTGCACTGATTACGCTGCGGGCCTTTGAACGCAACCAAACTATAACAGTACAACAGGCAGTATCTCCAACAACAAGAGCCATGGTAAACAGCAGTTGACTTTGGTAAGAAAAGGTAGATGTCTCACAGAACACAGAGCTGCACAAATGCATGCAAATTCTTCCTTTTTTGGGTAGGGTGTGTGTACATGTATTTATTGTTGCACCCAGACGTGGTTGGGCAAGACTCCTCTTCGAAACCGTCGATCTGATGCGCCGAAGTAAAAAAATCACCAGTGTGTGTGAGGCGGCAGTCACCTCGACTTTGGTTTGTGACTGCTTGGGTCCAAGGGGGGCGCCGAAAGGCACAGAGCGGTCGCATTGTTCCTTTTTGAGAAATGGTGAGAGTCTGCAGCATAGGTTTCATGTATGCTGTTGAACGCAACATCTTGCTACGTATTGATTTCCCCCCTGAACACTCACATGTCTCGGGAGAAGATGCACGGCCCCTTCATAGAACATGTGTAGAGAATCGCGACGTTGCAGGGGTCCTGGCCATGTTTGATGCGAGGGGCGCCGTTTTGTTGCGTCAATCTCCTGTAACGTTGGGCACCTCAGATGTCTAGGATGCGACCCTCACCGAAGCCTTGTCATCAGCGCAGAATCTCTCCAGAGGCGCTTGGGTTGTTCAGTTGATGTCGGCTTGGTCTTGCAGTCTTTGGATGTTTTTGATTCTCCATGTCTTAGCGGTGCTTCTTCGCTTCGGATGTTAGCACTGCTCCCCAGACCGCCGGTCACCCGGGGCGACGGCGGTGACGGAGTGACCGGTGCGGCGTGACCGGGGCCCATGGCGTGGCCGGAAATGATCTCGCCCGGGCAGCCGGGCATCAAGAGGAACTTGAATGGTGACGTTGGGAGCTGAGTGATAGGGGATGCTGGATGCTGAGTGATAGGGGGCCACCGGGCAGCTGGTTCCGATGCTTTCAGCAAGCAAGACGCAAGAAGCTTGTAGCATGTCAGTGATATAACATCGGCCAAACGATGGACCTTCCACATGGATCCACACAGCATGGGGCAGACACTGATCAGCATGGGGCATCGATCGACCCATATTGACGTTGTCTGTTTTTTCTTTCCTTCACGCCATTGTTCACATCCATGCTGCGTTAACAAGACCAATCCAGGTGATGTCAGTCCATGGAGTCTTCAACTATCAGAAGCCCGCCGTCGAGCGGACCTTAGCCCCTCGGAGTCGGTCCTCGGAGTTCGGGTCGGACGTGGCGCGGCGCGCGTGGCGCGGCTCCGGGGGTGACGTGGTACAAGGTGAAGATGAGAGTCTTCACGAGTGAAGCGACTGTTTGGCGAACCGGAGACAGCGCGACCATGAGCCGCTCCGGATGTGTGGGGTTTGGGATGAGACATGAGACTTGCGACATGACATCTTTGACTTAGACCATTGCTCTTAGACCCTTTGGATCCTGGGGGGATCGACTGGGTACCGACCGCAACGAATGCAACAGATTCAGGTCCGCAATGGGAAGCTGTACACCCACCGAGACCTGCGCGGAAGTGATGATAAGATCTATGGCGCGCAGTGGTCGAATGAGGAGGTCAGGCATGTTGAGTGCCTCATGTCGATCGCAATGTACACCTTCAATTGAACCGAATGATCGATTGGAGATTTATTATGATGTGGTGGTGTGATTTGTCTCCATGTTCTTCCAATCACAAACCTTTTGGTTTGTTGGTTGGTCTTTGCTGTAGAAGATATGGTTGTTCCAGTTGTTCCATGTTATTGCAAAGTGATTGTTTGGAAACATTCATGTGCTTCTGCTCTGTTTGATTGTCCAGGGTGCATTTGCTCCCTTGGTCCCGTTGCATTCAGTGATTATGAGTGAAGGCTTTGTGTGGCTGGCTGAAACGGTGCATTCTGCATAATTCATGTGTTATGTTACCGGCATTCTAGCTGGAAAAAGCACCAGTGACCTGCTCATTTGGTTCAGGTGGTGGTGCGGAATGCGCGCCTGGAGGAGCTATCGGCAAACCGACGAAAGACGGCATAGATGGTATACACTCACTAGAAGAGCTCCTCCATTCAAACAGTGGTCATTGGTGCCGTGTTTCACAGCAGCGCATTCCCTAGTGTAGGTGGATTGCTACTTCCACTTCTACCACTGCTACTACTACTGCTTCTCTTACAGAACAACTGCTGCTCCTTACCTGGCCCCGCTGCTGGTACTACAGACCAGCTTCATCGCCTTTGTTTTCAGGAGCCTTTCCAGCTTGATGTGCAAGGCTTTGAACTGCATAAGTTCCCCACGAACATGGCTTACAGCGAGTTCTTTTTAGAGGAGCCGATGCTGGTCGCTGCTCTTCGGAATTTTTGACTCAGCCTGTGGACATCGCTCGACGAAAAGGACATGTGCCAGATGACCTGCCTTGGTCCTTGCCTCTACCACCAGAAAAGATCGTTTCTTGTTTCCTGTTCACAGCCAGTTTTGAGTAAACGCCCCCTTGGCTCAACTAAATGGATTGTTGGCTAGATATGTTCATGTTCTTTGTCGCGTTGAACCCTGGGGTCTCATCGAGAGATGGCGTCGTTGCCGTGTTTGTACTAAAGTATTTTGCCCATATTTTTCATATATTTGTCAAGGACCAACATTAATTAGCACCTCGCCATGAACTAAATGCACTAAAGCGCCTGCTTTCTGCTGCAGGACAATATCCTCAACCGATATCATGCAGAGATTATTGAGCTCGTGAAGAAAGCCACAGGTGCGAGAACATCGTGGTAGAGTCATCCTCAACGACCAACAAGGTACCAGAATACAATTGTAATGAGCATTTTGGAGGTCGAACCCTTGATCTTCAGCTGTTCGTTGCTTTTCCTGTGCCCGAGAGAGAGAGAGAGAGAGAGAGAGAGAGAAAGAGAGAGGGAGAGAGAGAGAGAGAGAGCACATTGTTTTTCTTTAATATTTATTTTTGAAACTGACAGGATGATCAGGGTGGCAGCCGCCGTCGGTGGGCTGAAACGCGGTTGTTGGCTCAGGTGCCAAGTACGTGATCCCCTTTGACCACAATATCAGGTCAGCCACTGGCAAGGCGAGTGAGAAGGAAATCCAGGCCCGTCGCGATGTCTGGGGGCTTTGGCCATTTTGATTTCAATTTTGGAAAGAGTTCTGTCATGCGTCCATGCCATGTTGATTGGCCCTAGCTTGAACGAGCTCCAAAAGAAGAACTCCTTCGGTCCTGAAGGAACATGACATCCCATCATATCCCATATATAGATATGTATAGTCATCCTGAATTTGATAGACACCCAAACATCAACAGGACAGTGGTCATGCCTTTTGATAGGTTCATATTCTATCTATATAGTCTATCTACTCCGGGATGTTGGCAAAATCAACATCACGGTTTTTGGTTTTGACCAACAGCTCCCACTGTCAGTCTTCTGTTGAAAAATGAGGACAAATGAAACAAACAACATCAATTTGCTTCGTCTCGAGGGTATCGACGAAAACACCCTCCAGGAAGACATTTGCAACTTTTTGGCTCCCAATGTCTAAAGGATCTGAAGGTCCTGGTCTATTTGCCCTGCCTTTTGGCCTCCAAATTTGCTTGGACACAAGCAATTGCAAACACTGGTTACTTTATTGATCTTTTTTGTTTCCTGGAACCATCCGAAAACCTGTCCAACATGTTGCTAGGACCGCTAGGAATTCATTAATGATCAAAGAAACTCTTGACGTCTATTAACCACCCCGCTATTGAGAGGCGTGCATTTCCCACCCGTTGTGGTGCTTGGAGTGCCTCCCAGTGTCGCCCTCCAGCTGAGGGTGGTGCCAAAGTGCAGTCTCCTGGAGGCGATCCGGTGTGGCCGCCATGGCCCCTCAAGGGCACCCCAAAAAGAACATCGAGCCTTTGGAGCACTGGGGATGTTGCCATCCAAATTTGTATGCTTTTCTCGGGTCGGCCCGGTTCTATTCACTGGCATCGATTCGTTTTCCCGCGCGTTTGCGCGCGTGCGAGCTGAGTGTCGTCTGACGATGAGACGTCTCTGCTCAACGGCCAGGGCTGGTGCACAATGACTACACCCTCACTGGCATCCTGGCAAGATTGGACACGTTTTGGGTTCAGGATCCCTGTTTTACCCAACAAAATGGGTGTTCGTGGGATCGTTACAAGGTGTCGTTGAGCAACATTAAACACAAAACCTGTGTGTCTTGTGGGTCTTTGAGAAAGGCATTTTGAAGCCTAACTTGGAAGCACCGCACGAATGCTGATGCTGGCCAGTGAGTGTGTATCAAAAAGGAAGGAAAAAAAAACAAACCCTGAAAAGCCAGCCATACCGTGAAGTGATCGGAACATATCGGAACTGGGTGACCTACAGTTCCGGCTGTGGAACGTGGATTCCATGGCGTATTTCGTGGCGATTCCATGTTCGATTGTTCACAACTCCCTTGGGGCATTGCCGTTCGTTGGCGAAACAGACCTCCGACTGTTGGTCATTTCTACCTGGACCCTCCGACGTGTTTCCTGGTGACAGATCCTATAAGTTTATAAGACTGACCTTCTATACAGGTGATCCTAGGATATCCTAGGTGTGTCATCTTGATGATATTGCCAACCCTTGCCTTGAAAAGAGGTTCTTACGCTACTGGAGTCTGGATAATCTCCACCCACCGACCGGGTCCGACCGGGCCGACCGTGCCGAGGGGGTCCTTTACGCTTCGAGCAGCTGGCGCAGCCTCCCAAGGTCAACGACAGCATTCAGAAGGAGCCGTAAGAGATCACCGGTAGGATGGCCGGGGTGGGCACCTTAGCTTTTTGAGAGAACAGCTGAGAGAAGGCCCGGTGCCCAAAGGCGCCTGGCGCTCCCCAGAGGTCTCCAGTTGTGAAGTGGAACGTCATCCCGTGGGTTAACACGTTGGTTACGACGCGTTGCTTCCAACCGGTTCCGATTCGCCACGTTCTTCCGACTCCCTCGTCACCCCCGCTGTTCCCAGGAGGGCATGAAGCCGGCGATCCCCGAGGTGCGAACCGCTGATCAAGTGGGTAGATGGCGCGAACGCGGGAGTTGTCGTGTCACAGTCCGGAGCTGGGGCGCTTGTAGCCTTCTGGTTGTTTGGGGGGGGACTCTGGAGGCTGGCCACCCTGGTTGCTCCGCTGTTCTCTTGGACATTCCACCTTTCGGCGAGCACCGCAGGAAGTCTACGAGGCCTGCTGGGCCTACCGTTTGGACGGGTGGTTTGGAATGAATCTGTGCACGGTGAAGACGTAGCTCGGGTTGAGACCATCAAGCTGACAAAATGACCATGACTTCCGTGCGTTCGATAGTCAGCTGGTCTATTTTTTGTGGATCCCAGTTACCATCACGTGCTATCACTATAATATCAGGAACGTTTCTATTAAAGTATCAGTATATATATATATATATACAAGTGTTTTCTTTTGGAATCATTGGCTATATATAGAGTAACTTATTGACCCAATATCGTGGTATATAGATACATAGATCGCTTGGTCAACCAGATTGACATGCATTGCTCAAACAATCCTGTTCAGGCTGGCCGAAAGGGACGCTTCTTGCCTGAAAAGTAATTGAAGCGATTGAAGTCATCTCTCAGAATGCCGGACCTCACCAACTTGGGGAATTGCTTGGAGACACCATCTCAAAAACCCTTGAGTTGGAGGATCAACATTGGGAGATTGTAGAAGAATCAACTACTGTATACTACTGTACTTCATATATCTTCACACCAACACAGTGCATCAGTACTGTTGCTTTTCGCTACTTCGTGTTGTCAGTGACTGCGAAGAAGCGAAAGCGATGTGCGTTCGAAGGTACAAACCGCAGCTTCCCAGCGCAGCGGCGCTTCCCACTCCTGATGTCTTCCTGCTTGCGAAATCGGTTTATTGGATAGCTCAGACCGGCCCCAGGGGTGCAAAGCTCAGGTTGGGCCATCATCAATGCTTGGAGAAACATCCGAGAGAAGCCCCGAGCTGAGCTTCCCTGACACACCCATGGCCCATGGCGTTCAGGAGGGAGCAGGAGGAGGAATGAGGAGGGACCAGGACCAGGAGAATGATGAGCAACTTTTCGGTGCCAGCGTTGTAGAGAATGAGACTCAAGTCGAGAACACCCTCATTTCTGAACCCTTGTCTTGCAGCCTGAAAGCGTTTCTGCAGCACCTGACATAGGGAATCATCGGGAAAACCACTGAATGTATATATTCTTATATATGGTGTTTTGGTATTGTTTTGGCATGATAGGTCATGCCAGCGCATTTCTTCCATCGAACAAACTGGCTCTGCCGTGGGACCGTCGCTCCGTTGGTGAGGCCTGTGGAGGTCTACCCTTTTGCCTTGATGGATGCCCGAACGGCCTCTGAAAAGGATCTTTGCGTCTTTGAGCCACTGGGATCCATTGGTGGATCGGTACGCCGGGAGCGATTCGGAGGGAGCGATTTCGGCGAGCTAAGGGGAGCTCCAATGGGGAGCTCAGTATGGCATCCAGATTCGATGTACAAATGCATCAGTGTCCGTTAAGAAGATATCACGAATATATTCACAGCGCTTCGCGCTCGAAGCCGCCCGCGCGGACCGTGTTCGTCTGTTTGTCTCTGTCTGTCAGTCTGTCTGTCTGTCTGTCTCGGGCAGGACACACGGACGAACACACCCACGATGTCAATGATGCACTATCCCCCCTACTGCATCACTAGCATCGCGAGCAATTACCTCCGAAGCCATATGGACAATCATACACACGATATCATTTGATCAATCTTCAATAAGCATCAAAGAAGCTACCAAAACCGCACCACTTTCCAAAATGAAAGGTTCACCCCCGAAAGACACATGAGAATAAATAACTATCAAGTTGCAGGGATGTTTATCCTGATGCCAAACCAGGATCCACTACAAAGACCGCATCGGGGAGAACTACTTTGCTGCCAGCTCGCCGGATCACCGGTGGTCGCCCGGCGGCTGATCACGATCAACTCGGGTGCATTGGTTCGAGGTTTTCTGTTGCTCTTGGCAACCGCAAATGAGACTAGATGAGACATACCTGGACCTTCCAAGGGGTGTCCAATGGAGATCCACAAGTAGTGTGGGGGCTTCCAGCCAGGTGACCCCGTAAGGAAGGTGCTGGTATTGGAGGTCTTTTTGTTCCTTTTGTCGGATTCGTTTTTCTTTTCTTTTTTGGTATACCGGACGTTTTGCGGAGGTGACAGTGTTTAGACTTTATTTGGGTTCGTTCCTCTGGGATAGCTGGTACAAGTGTTGGGACGAGTAGATACTGCAGAGAGTCTCTAGATTCTAAGACCAGTCCACACCACCCTGTAACATGGCCGCATGGAAGATGGAGGACTGCTAGAATGAAATGCTGAGGGCACTGCACCATGTCAGTCTCTACAAGATTGTGCATCCACAAGAGTCTACAATATCTATCAATATCTCGAATTTAGATGAGTTCAGTACTGTATGTTGAAGTGATTCATGTGAGGGAAAGGAGCAGTCATTCCAATTGCGGGGTGCTTCAAAGGTCCGGGGATCAGGTTTGTCACGATATGAACGAACCGCTCGGGACGAACCGCTCGATCTATGCCTGGACATGAACTCCAGGATCGGTTTTGCTCGCTTCCGGTGCCCCAGGTATTACTACCCTCACATGACCCGAGACGAGGCACGAGGACGGCACGAGGACGGCACATGGTGTTGACCGTTGAGTCCCAGGGACCTCCAGTCGTCCCAGCACCCGCGTTCTGGGGTGCGTTGAGTCCAGGGGTCCGTTTGGGTCCACCCGAGTTCCACCAGCCGCAGGTGATTCTCCTGAAGCAATGGGACTCTCAAGGATGGCTCCATGGCGGTCCTCGCGCGAACTTCACCTTGCACTCGGCCTTCAAGGACCCCTCCAGCCCCGAAGAGGGGGAGGATCGCGTCTCCTGCGAGGCGAGGGGGGGTGGAACACGGAGGGGGGCAGGCGACCGGAGGGAATGGATGGAGAAAGCATGGATCTGAGAGAGGTCTAACTGGAGATGGCAGACTTTGACCGGGGAGGTTGAGTGTGCGATCAGGGCCATCAGGACGATCAGGGCGCAGGGAGGAGTAGGGCGGAATGGAAGAGAGATATAGAGGTTTGGAGGCAAGTGAAGAGTGACAAGCATTGTTTCTTGTGCAAAGCAGACTTGGCCTGGACAGGTGCGCTGCGTTTGTGTTTGGGAGGAGTAGTGAGTCAGTGAGAAAGATGTTTGCAGCAAGCTGCTTTGAAACTGAGCAGGTTTGCTGTAACCTTTGAAAGTTTCCACGTAGACGTAGCCTTCCCACGTAGCCCTTGCTTGCCAAAGACTTGCAGAAACTCATCGCTTCCGCAAAAGACCCGCGCAGCGATGCCGCGGGCAGGTTCGGGGCAGAGCATTGGACCGTATAACATCTAACCTTTCTGTTGGAGGGCTATGATCGTGTGGTTTTGGCTCTGACACATCCCATCACGCTTCAATTCCCGGGTTCATTTGAGTGAACACCAAAGCCGGGTGCAAGAAGAACGCCGGACAGGCGGGCCCCTACGGCCGCTAGGGGATGAGCTCGGGGGTGGACCGTTACAAACTGGCCAACGAACTCCTTTTTTCGAGGCAAGGCAGACACCAAGGAGCTGCAGACGGACACGGCCCAGCAACGGAATTATCAGGTGGGCGCTTCTGGCCAGATGGGGATGGATTCGGATGTCTCCGATGCCTATACCTGGGACCTCGAGTCTCAAAGTACCTCGGAAGATGTGTCTTTATCGATCCCCCTTAGAATATCCTCTACAGAATGGATGGCCTTGTGGCCATAAATCTTGATTTTAGAGTTGATTTTGAGGGTAGCCTGGGGGGATCTTTATAGGGTAATGATTCCCATTTTCTAGGGTAGCAATGAAGGAACGGTCAACCAGTTGCACGACTCGGGTGCCTCGAATCACCGGTGATCAGACGCCCGGATCCTGACGCCCGACTGGTTGGAAGATCTGAGCAGCCGAACTCACACACATCGCATCATCTCTGAGATGGGATGCGATGGGTGGAGGGTGTCCGGAAAAAATGAAACACTCAGGCACGAGGAGAAGCGGGGATGAGAAGCAGGGTCACTTGAAAAGAAGCATGCGTCAGACCTGAAGCATCGCTGGAGCGGTCCCATGGTTTGGGGTGGGTCAGGTGCATCCATTTAGCCATTTTTGAATCCATTTGGTCCGATTGAAAGAGTCCACCTGGGAACACCAAAAGGGACCGGTTCCAAAAGGACCCCAAGACCTTTGCGGTGATGGCATGATGTTGATCGTTCCGTGACGTGGAAACTTCTCCACGTCACCTTGGCAGATGGCTGACGCAGCTGCTGGGAAGACACTGGCCGACTTCATGAGCAGCTTCTTTCCTTGGACTGACCAGGTGCGAACGCCTGGGAGAACAAAGCCGCCGTAGCCGCTGGTGGATGCCAGTTGGGTGTTCTTGGTTCGGCAGTGGTACGAGACCATTAGGGGATCAACAGGAACCCGAGCTCAATGGATCACCTCAGGGAAGCCGCTGCGCCAGGATCGATCCGATCGACCTGACAATAGACCTTTGATATCCTTTGATATTCATCAGATTGTATTGTTCAATGTACAATCTCTCTCTCTCTATATATATATGTATATTGATTCCATTAAATATAAATAAACAAAAAACAATATATATATATATATGACAACTGGTAGGCCATTCCACCCATACAAGTTCAGCAGGACAAGGTCTTTTTCCGCTGGTGTCAGTCAGCTTGATGGATATCTTTTCCATCATCCACCTCCTTTGCCACACCTTTCCTCTGGTGCGGGTGGGTGGGTCAAACAAAAGGGTCAGGGCTTGAGCCAAAATGGCATACTCAAGCCCTGACCCCACCCAGACCTACCTAAGTTGTCCATCAGAAAACTCCTTCGTCTTTTTCTTGCACGACAACTGGTAGGCCATTCCACCCATACAAGTTCAGCAGGACAAGGTCTTTTTCCGCTGGTGTCAGTCAGCTTGATGGATATCTTTTCCATCATCCACCTCCTTTGCCACACCTTTCCTCATTGCTCTGCGCAAGTAGGAGGCATTTCTGACAGCTGACCTTCGACACGTCCAAGCCAAAGCTAAAGGCGGAGGAACCGAATGGCCACCCACAACGAGTGTGCCAAGCCAAAACCGGAGAAGCGATTGGTTGTCTCCTGTTCTCGTGCACCGTGCCCCCACGTGAGATCACCGTCGGGGGAAGAAGTCCATGATTCTCCTTCGACACAGCCTCCCATTTCACAATCGATTCGTCCAACTTTTCCTGCGTGGCTTTGAGGAACTGTATCTCCTTCTTCAACTTGCGTTCCGTGTCTTTCACCTCCGCTAGCGCCTTGGCGTCCTGCTCTGACATGGTGGAAATGGCCAAAACCTTCGTGCCGTTCACGTCGCCGATCTCGGAGCCACCATCGCCAAGGGGTTTGGGCCTCACTGGCATCGTCTCCAAGGCTTCTTCGGCGTATTGCAAGATCACGTTGGATTTCCATCTACCCAGGTACGCGACTTGCGGCACTTGCCAACCCTTTCTAATGTACTGCAAGGCCCCGGATCTTCTCCCCGAATGACCCGAAATGCTTTTCCCAAAGCACTTCCGCCAAGCGCTAATGAGCTGGTCTTTCGACACTTCACCTTCGCCGTCGCCGCAAACCAGTTTGTCTGTTTCCACGGGAACTGTTTCGAGGGTGGCCTTGGTGATTTTGTATGGGCATGGTTTCTGCCAGTTGCATTCTCCCCTGCACGAGCGTTGCAGTGTCCTCTTCAATCCCTTTGCCTCCTGATCCCCCTTGGTGATGCGTAGAGTCAATGCCACCAATAATTCCTTCTCCTCAATCACGATGTCTTCCTTATAGATCGCCGCTAACTCGACTTCTCTCAACATCCATGTGGTGGCAAAGGCAAACAACAAGGCGGGGTAGTGGACTGCGCCCCTCTGCACTTCGTTCAGCTCCGCTTTGCATGCCGTGAACCATCTGTCCTCCTCCACCTCCTTGGCTTTCTTTGGCGGCCCTTTTGCCCTGTTCAAAGCTCTCGTCGCCTGGGTGTAGGCCCTCTGTAGTTGCTGTGACCAGTACACGCCCGTCTCGATCGCCATGATCTTGTATTCAGACAAGTAGGTCACCCCTGCCTTGTACTCTGAAGACTTGAGTACTGCCCCTACTTGTTCCAACGTCTCCGGCGTCCAGCACTCATTGGATCCCTTCACGCCCAGGTTGAGCAAGATCTTGTCCACCGTCTTCCTTACCGATGCTCTTGCCCTCCTCGATGAGTTTGCATAATAGCCTTTCTTGAAGTTCACTAGAGTCCTGTTGTTCTTCGGCCCGCCTGATCTGAACATCTTTGCCGTTCGAATGGCTTTCAACCACTTCTGATTTCCTCTCAACTTTGGGTTCTTCGCTGGTTGCTGCGGGATGTCAGGCCTCCTGTGGCCCTTGGGCATAGTCTCTCTAGTCCCTTCATGCCGAAGCTGGATTTTTCCTCGCTCTTCTTCCTTCTTCTGACGCTTTCTGGCGCTGGCTTCTCCCGCTTCCTCCATGTTCCCATTTCGCCGGCGCTTCACCAAATGCACCAGCGCGTTGACCTCCGCGTCCTCCTTCTCAGTCTTTCCGACCGGAGGCGAAGGTGGGAACTCAAAGATTTCGGCTTTCCCTTCTCCTTCCTTCACCGTCTCGTTGACCTCCTCCTCGTCATCCCAAGTCTTCATCTCCCATAGGTCCGATTGGCCCCCCTTCGTCTCCTCCAACATCACAGTTGCCAACTGTCTTTCGAATTGAGCCTCCTCGTAACCAGCCATAACATATCTCTCGTAGCCACTACCCTCTCCCTCAGCGGTGGTGAGCTCGTCCCCGGTGTGTCCAATTCCGTTGATGGCGCTGACGTCCTCCCCTCCGTGCCTCTTGTCTCCCTCGGTGAGAAGTGGTCCACCATTGCTCTCCAAGGTGCCGGTTCCGAAGGTGAGGCCTGGGGGTGCCTCCTTCTGATCCCTCTTTCCGGAGTCCATTCCAACAGGTTGTAGGGGTAGATGTCCTCGTTGTCCCTCTGGTCCATGTCCCACGGCTCTTCCCATCGTTCTTCCTCCGATGGTTGATGTTCTTCCCATAGGTCTTCTTCTGAAGGTTGAGGTGTCTTCTCCGCCCCTTTCTTTGCCTTTGTGGATGTCCGCGGAGGATTGAGGGAGAGTAGGCAGCGAGCCAACCGTGTGCAACCGAGCCATGCTACCACGAGGTGGGTCAGCGCGCCAGTGACGACGAGGTAGAAAAGCCAGAAGCGAAGCCATGGCCACGCGTAAGCGTACCCATACACCTCCGGTGGCGAGGTTTCCACGGCCGTCGTCAACTCCATCTTGAGCCCCGGCTACGAAGGGTACCTGACAACGTAACGATTCGAACGAAACCGAGATGCCTACGGTACCTACCAGGTTCCACATTGTGGCCTCCCGGCAAGCTCCCCCTGCCCCTTTTCAAATCGACCCTCACGGTCGCAGACTCCAGGCCGCCGTCAAGGCTGTGTCATCCTGCCATTCGGCGGAGTCCGGACCTGGTGGATGAAGGCTGTACCATTCGACCGTCCGCTCCACTGGCGTTTCGATCGTGATGCCCTCCAGTGCTGCCGGCAAGGTAGTGCTGCTCCAAGTGTCCGGCCGGGACAAAAAGTCGGCCTCCTTGTTCGCTGTTCCCGGTAGGTGCACCGGTTTCAGCTCGGCCAAACCCAGCGCTTCGCACGCCACCGCCAGCTCAGCCCCTAGATAGTTGAGAGCTGACCCGCTGTTGGAGAACTTTTGGGTCATGGCCAGGGCTGTGATCGAATCCGACTGCACGGATATGGCCAGGTTGACCGCAGTCAGCAGGCGTCCCCAGTGTCGTAGTGCTGCCAGGATCGCCAGAGTTTCCACAATGCCCTGTGAGCTCGATTGTCCGAGTTCGAACCCTAGCAGCTTTGCGTCTAGCTCGCCCACTGGGGATGCCATCGCTTTGGTAACCCGGCCGTTCACTAGCAGAATTGCCCCCAGTCCTTGAGGTGAGGCGTCCGTCAGCAAGGTCAGGTCGGCCTTGCCTCCCTTGTACAGGTTGAACTTCCGAATTGGTTTGCCCTGCGCCGCCTTGATGTACGCCAGCAGCCACACCCTCGCCTTCTCCAGCCTCTTCACGGGTATGAGATGGTCCTTAGGGCGGTTGTCCTTCCGTAGTTCCCGTCTGATGGCCTCTGTCCCCTGTGCCACGTCCTCCTCATGGTCGTAGAGGGTGGCATAAAAGGTTGATGTCACCCACCTTGCTCTTGGTAGTATGCCCGCCAACCATGCCACCCGCCCCG